AAAATTTTCTTCAAATTTGAAAGGGACCACTACTAACATTGACTTAAAATTATATGGACGTCGGGTCCGCGCTAAAAAGTGTCCGAACTTATAGGGCGTTAAAATCGTATACAGAGCGTCATTCACGCTTTAGTCTTCGTTTGTTTGACTGACAGCGAAGCAAGCAAAATTAGACAGTACTGCGATGAAATTACAATTTAAAAGCTTTTTCATATTCCTTTACATGTCACAACGTTTAAATAGGTAGACTTGGGACATTTTTTCGTGGTTTTTGTATTAGACCCGTCGTCCATTTATTTGTAAGTCAATGACTACTAAGGTAATTATCTTTACAACAAAAAAAGAATCATCAAAATCGGTCCACAAATATCGGAGTAATTACGTAACATCCACACAATAAAAAAACTCACAGTCGAACTGAAAATGTCCTTTTTTTTTAAAAGATTTCCATAAAACTTGGCAAATAGATGTAATTCCACGATCTTTTGAGGTCGGTTTTTTATTAACAAAAAAAGTTATAATTATTTGTGATATCAAGTGACGGGATGAACAAGTAGTAGGCCTGGTGTTTATTGACACACCTGTCCATAGTATTTGTAGTGCCACTTAGAGCTTTAAATCGCAAAGACCGGAGGGACACTGCTTCTGCGCCCGTCACCCTGAGACATAAGTTGACAAGTCCCATGTGCCTGTAATTTCACCACCACCCTTATCCTTCAAAACCGGAACGTGGTTATGCTCATATTACTGCTTGGCGTCAGAAATAGGTAAGGTGGCAGTACTTCCCTGGATCAGCTCTTGCAGAAGGAGCTCTATTGCTACTAAATGCTATTTGGTGGTGCGGTGTGACAAAAAAGAATTAATTAAATTTTTAATGAATGTCGGAATGTTTCAACAGTATGATATTCAATTATTGTTTTTGTGAAATTACTCCACTAGTTCCTTATAATTATTAATACAAACATCGAATACTTAGAAAAAGTTCCTTCGATCCGGCCGGATTCGAACCGACGTCTCCCTGCAAACCGTGCCAGACGCTATGTCAACTAAGCCATGGAACGAACCAGCGGATATCACGAATTTTTCTATGTGCTTGTTGTCGGATCTTTGTTTTTGGTTTTTCAACGGAGTTTTAGCCGTAGCGCCATCTAGAGAATATTTGTATTAATAATTAAAACAATAAATGAGTTCAAGATTTTGTATGCGCATCTTCCGCCTAGAGATACAGAACTACAAATATTGCTTATGATATATTATGTTGCCGTCAGCGAGCTATCGCATGCGCGTGCGCGCCGATCGGAACGCAAAACTGTTAACCGTTCCGCTGCACCGCCGTTCCGTTTCACAGAGCAACGCGGCGATGGTTTTTATCGTTAATTCGACGTTGTTTTAATGTTAAGTGAGTAACTGATCATCTAAATCGATTTTTTTTTAACTTTATCTCTATATCGCCGTGTCCTCTCTAACAAGAAGGCAACTAGGTCAGTCATGCGAATTTGTAGAGCTCCTTGTGGAAGAGTTCGTCCAGTGAAGTTCTGTCGCCTTATCTATTTCTGCCGCCAAGCAATTTTTTCCATTTTTTTGTTTTGAAGGGTAAGAGTGCTGGTGAAATTACAAACCCGTGAGACTTTTCAACTACAGAGCAGTGCCCTTCAGATGTTTGCGATTTAGAGTTCTGAGTGGTACTGCAACTGTTACGGACAGGCGTGTCGCTTACTACCGGTCTCAAGATTTTCCGGTAACCGATTTCAATAAAACAGTTTAAGTATAATTTTCTATTACTTTGATTGCAAAAGCTTTTTTTTTTATATTTTTATGTTAACATTGTTTTCGTTCTAAATTCAATCGACTTAAATGCGTTCCGAAATCATCAGTTAGTCAATATATTTAAGACTCACGGTAGTTTGATATTAAAAGAAATACAAAAAATACCGACTTCTTGCAATTATTGTTCAATTTTGTTTATTGAACCATAATATAGTCAATAAGTGAACCTTTATAGGCATGCAGGAAACAATTCAAGAAGGTTTTCCTTTAACTGAAGCCTTTACTATAATTAACAATATTAAATTCAAGTGCCAAGCCTTCACCTCGGAATGACCAAGAAAATATCAATTATATATAAGTAGTTATATTACATACTGACGTAGTTATATGAGCTCATAATAACCCATAGTGATATTGCAATTTGTTACGTACTCATTTTAGTTGCTACGCTCGCTTTTGGTACATATTTGACTTCACAAGTTCTCTAACACTTTATATTTTTGATATTTTTAATAGACTTCAGAAGAAAGGAGGAAGTTTTCTCAGCAGCATTGTCAATGAAATTTGAAAAAAATATTCCACATCTAAGGGCGGCAAACTAGGGGATGTATTCGGTTTTCGCGCACTTTCCGCTAACCAATTTCAATAAAACTTGACAGACAGATGTAATTCGACAAAGTTTTGAGATCGATTCATAATTATTTTCATGAAAAAAGCACCGATACTCGCATATAGTTGCCACATGGTTAGATACAAAAAGACAAATACAGTAACGTTATTCTTTTTAGCAACGCACTGTTATAATTGTAACTTTTTATTTAAAAAAAAAACTGACCCAAATTTTATAGAAATCGGTTACCGGAAATTGCGAAAAACAGGATCCATCCCCTAGTCTGTCACCCTTAAAGGTGGAAAAATTTCTTCAAATTTAAATGCGACCCTTTTTAACAAAAAAAATCTTCAAAATCGCCACAAATACCGGAGTAACAGTGAACAGAGTAACATACATACAAAAAAAAATGCAGTCGAATTTAGAACCTCAGCTAAAAAGGTATATTACAAAATCGAGAATAGACATCAACAAACTAACCCTATAAATCTGTTGGTTTAAACCCGGTGGCCATATGAATTCTGTCCCGTTGAACAACAAATTGTGGTCATTTTGATCCCGATCTAAAATAATATATAACTTGTTTCATGTACTTTATCGGTTATTATTTTTATGATTGTCGTATGCGATAAAAGCACTTTTGACGTTGAAATGTGGCTAGTTTTACGAAGTTATTAGTTATTGAATTAAAGTCATACAACTTCCTCAATCGATGTAATTTAATAAATATTAGCTATAATTGAGAAGTTACAAGGCGAATGTTGCAATGACATAATAATAGTGTGTTTTTGCAAAATGTAATTAAGCAAAATACGTCAGAGCGGTCTTTTTTACAACAAAAAAAATGAACTTGGTTAGTTAATTTTTCCCGATAACTTTTTATTATTTTTAAGCCGGTTTTCAATTCCTATTGGTTTATCTTGAACCATTTGTTTCCACACACATTAATTACGTAACAAAACTAAGCTTAAAAGATTACTTATAAATGCAAAAATAAATTAAATTAATATATACATTAAATGTTTTGTGTGTCTCAGCATTTACTGACCGGCAGAAGTCGCTCAACGCTGGTTTTCAGCCTGCCCCCGATCTTTGCGAACACATTTGTAATAGCGCTTGTTTCGCAAACTTAGAACTTAGTAACATTACTAATAAATAATTCCTTTCAGTTAAATTTAATAAATAATCTCTATTTAAACATCATGGTACGTTTTACTCAGCTGTAACTGCGCTTCTAATCATCTTCTGTGTGAATTTACCTATCCATATATATAGTATATTATGTGCACCCTAATTCTAAACCTATCTATCACAATAAAAAATTGTATATCGACTGTGAACTGGCAATGGTACTATCTCAATTTTGACAACTGTACAGGATGAAGAAAAAAATTGTTTGCTTCATTTATATAGCATCTGAATTATTAAATAATAATACGCAGTTTTTAAATATTTTTATTACACATACACTACGTATTTTTATTTCATAAGTCAGATATTGTTTTGTTTTTTCTTCACCGTAAAACTTGTCAAATTAATACCGGTTGCCAATCCACATTCGATATCTTATTTAATTATCTATTGCCACAAAACAAGGCTAGTCCAGGAGTGTCTCTTTCTGCTCGGTCAACATTTCTTAACCGACTTCAAAAAAAGGAGGAGGTTCTCAATTCGACTGTATGATTTTTTTTTGTATGTATGTTACGCGATAACTCCGGTATTTGTGAACCGATTTTCATGATTCTATTATTGTTAGAAAGAAGAAAATCATCCACCTCTAAGGGTGGCTGTTCATGCATGAAGATTCATTTTTATACATAGCGCCTAAATTTTATTATACGAAGCAATTATTTTCATGGTTGATTTTGCTATTCTCCAATTCAAGGCGTTTTTCTCTCTCAATATACTTTGAGCAGTGAGAACCGATTTTTATTATCTCCTGTGTCAAGTCACGTATAGTGGCGAACTAGGGGATGAATCCGGGTTTGCGCAGTTTCCGATAACCGATTTCAATAAAACTTGGTAATTACATGTAATTCCACGTACTTTTGAGGTCGGTTTTTTTAGTACTCTGTACTGATATTATTACATCCACTGTTCTATTTAATAGGTAGGCGATAATATACGAAGTTGGCAATTATTTTTTCGTGATTTTCACGCGTTAAGATATATTGTCCAGTGACCCAAAATACAATTTAACAGCGTATAAAGAAAATCTTATCAGTAATCATCAACTGCTGGGCACGGGTCTCCTCTCAGGCGAGGATTAAGGCCACAGTCCGCTGTCCCGATACGGGATGGGGACTTCACACGTTTTCTGAGGGGTGTGAACCTTCTACGACGCGCGGGTTCCACCACGATGTTTTTGTTCATCGAAAAGCTCACGGTAAATTTCAAATTAAATTTCGATTTTGCGAGGTCAAACTGAATGTTTTCTTGTCTCCGTATGGCGTTTGTTAATCTATGTATTGTTGTTAAAGTTTTAGTTTATTTTTAAAATTTTGCAATTTCCAAATCCGTTGACATAAAAGGTTTACCACACCTGCATTCACTTTGGCAATGACATTTCTTTGTTTACATGTTGGGCATCTAATTCTGATTCGTACTATAATTAAAAACTTACCAGCATAGGAATATTTGGCACAACAACGGCGTCGTCGTCAGGGCCCGCGCTCAAGTGCGGTTGGAACGTATACATGCGCTTGTACTGGAAGGACAGGGTGCCGTTCTCGTTGTCCGTTATGTTCACTTTCTCCCATTCTTCTCTGAGGTCAAAAGAAAAAGAGGATTTAGTTTAAAAAAATAATAATTTCATGTTTTTCTGCAGTTGTAGTCATCTGACTTGACAATGCATTATCGTAAAATTTGGAACATTGCAAAAGTCGAAACCTTGGTATTTTTAAATCAAAGTCAAATAATGTATTTGCATGTCACAGTTAAAGTATACGAAATACAATTTCAGTTGGTAGATTATTGTACAGTGTCAAGTGACGCCCTAAGAATAGATTAATTAATTTAAACCAAGAATATACATATTTCAAATAGTTCCGATAAACGCATTATATTCATTCAATAATAACAAAAAATGCTCATGGTACCATGTTTTCGTTTAACTGAGGTACACGATTATTTACATTTATATAAATGATTAGGAGGGTAGGAAATATACACAGTAGTTGGGGGGTTGATGTTGCTCGCTTCCGTAGGTTTACCCTCGAGACCCTGCAAGAGACCCCTGGGTGGTGCTAAAGAGCAATAACTACTGGTGGTAGGCTTCGGCCGTGGCTCATGGCTCAGTCATCATCTTCCCGACGCAGTCGAGTCGCCAAATGGTTTTTACCGTGTTCCGACTCGTGTTCGGGAGTTGCCATTAGGAGGTCGGGTCTGAACAGTTGCATTGCGTCTGACGGGATCCGACGCACGGTGCACCGCTGGCCGATCGTGGGAAGTTGGGGGCCCAAGTAGCGGGAAAGTCACCCGTGAAAGGTTGCCCCGCCACCCAACGAAAAATCCCGGAATGCTCCACCTTGCCGATTGGCAACCGGAAGGGAGAACCAGGTGGCCATCTCCGGGGGGTTCGGGCATCCCCGCGGTCTCCAAGTCGATTGTACCCTCGTGTGGCAGTGTGAGTCTGCTGCTTGGTTGAACGCGACGCAGTGCCTCGTTCAACTGCCTTCCTCCTGCCTATTCACTTCTCCAAAACCAAAATGAAAAAAGTATACACAGCGGTTGCACGTCCTCCCACTAAAAGTGCACCTCACTAACATTCGAGGTCGATTAGCCGGAAAATTTCTAGATTCTATAATTCTAATTTCTAGATTTTCAGAGCTCTATATAAAAAAAAACAAAAATGTCAAATGCCTGGTTCAATTTTGCATTTATTTTAGTACCACTAAAAGAATAACTCCTTTTAACATTACACACATTATAAGATAGGAGAGATAAGTACTTGCAAAATAAAAAAGGTAATACAATCTTTAGATTACTATCTAAGTATCAAAGGAGACTTCATAACATAATTTCAAAATACTCATCAATTTCGTTCATTATAATTATTCCACCGAATTTATCACAAACACTATGTCGGAGAATATTGGAAACTCTGTAATGGTATAATTATCTTTTCTCCCCTAAACCTTCTAGTTGGAGTCTCGCGCTACGCAGAAGGATGTGGAATAAAACAAATCTCTATTATGTGCACAACTTGCGCAAGATCACGCGAGCTCGCGTGCTTAAACAATATTTATGTTATTATTTATATGTTTGAATACACTTATTATTTTAAAGTACCTTTGAGTTGTATGTATACGATGATTTGCGATATATTCCTATTAAACGCGGTGGTACACAACATGTCCATTACATTTTTTTAACCCACTTCAAAAAAGGAGAAGGTTCTCAATTCGACTGGATGTTTTTTTTTGTATGTATGATACGCGATAACTCCAGAATTTGTGAACCGATTTTAACGATTCTTTTTTTGTTGGAAAGAGGATACCTCAGTAGTAGTCCCATTTAAATTTCAAGAAAATATTCCAACGCTAAGAGTGGCAAACTAGGGGATGAATGACTTTTGAGGTGGGTTTTTTTGGAAATCTGCACTGAGACTATTTGTATGTATGTTACGCGATAACTCCGTCATCTCTGAACCGATTTTGATGATTTTTGTTGAAAAGAGGATACCTCAGAAGTGGTTCCATTTAAATTTGAAGAAAATATTCCACCTCTAAGAATTGGAAACTAGAATAAAAGACTTGACATTTATTATTCGACTCTAAAATTATGGTAGTAATAGTTTTTACCCTGCTTACTTTACTTACTTACTTTACTTTAATAGTTTCAACTGCCTCCGTGGCCGAACGATTACCATGCCGGACTGCCACGCAGAGGTCCCAAGTTCGATTCCCGGGCCGAGCGAAATATTTGTATGACCTACATTTATTTATCTCGTAAGTTTGGGTGTAATTTGTGGTAGTCTATGTGTGTGTCCATAGCACCCGTGATACAGGGTTTACCTAGTGCGCGGCTGAGTGTGTGCGTTTAAAAAGAAATAAAGTTTTATTTTTAATTATGTAAAGGAGGGAGGTTCTTTCGTCCGTTGGATGAGGTTACCAAAACTAGCCAGTTGGAGTTTTCCAAGTGGTTCAGAAGACTTTTATTTTTCACCTTGTATGTCGCCAATACAATTTTACCCTATATGCGGAAGGTCCGGGCAGTTGTTCCCAAGAAGGGACTCACTCCTGGAAACCGTTCCACGAGATGAGGTTTTTTCACCCTATATGATGGGCAATAATCTTTCACCCTATAAGAGCGTACGAAATATCAGAAGATCCGGGTAGCAGTTCCCAAGAAGGGACTCAACTCCTGGTGCCTTACTGAGCTCTCTGTATTCTCAGATTTCTCTTCCCATTAACAAAATTGTGTTCGCGTAGACACATTCGAGGGAAAATCTTAACACCGCGATTCAGAAATAACGCCAAATGGCTCAATACCATCTAGCGGATTCTTAGAGAACTAAAAGTGAACAATCTATTACATAAAGTAGGTTTGTTAAAATTATTATTATTTATTATTCTTAAGCAGAAACCGTAGGATCGAATCCGGGCTTGCTCCTCTGAGTTTCGAAATGTACCAAGAGGTTTTCGATGAAGGAAAACATAATGATGAAACCTGCATGTCCAAGAAGATTCACAACTCTCGGAAAACGTATGATGTTCCCAATCCGCATTGGGCCATCGTGACGGACAAAACACTCGTTTTAAGAGGAGACCCGTGCCAAACAATTTTTTATTATACATATTTAATTATTCGTATTCAGGTTACGAAGACCCATAAATACATACCTTAAAGACTAATTATTGTTTACACGTATTGTCTGCGACGTGTGACGCAATGTGAGTGTCCGATAGCCGGCCTCGGAAACGTCGGTACATGACACCCTTCGGCCCAGACTCAACCTTCATGAAGGTTGACAGATATCGAGTTGGTACTCTCACCACAAATCAATTAAAATTTACTTTGTGGCGGGACCCCAACTGCTCAACCCTCAGGGTATTGACTTTCACCCGTATATAGGTACTCCACAATATCGGGAGACTTTGTGAAGCAATGAAGCCGTGACACGTATAATAACGTCGTCGGTATCGCTGGACGCAGTACATGATTAGGGCCAGTCGAGGCGGTGCCACTAAGGTTACGGCTGGTGTACTTCTTTTTTTTTCCACCTTTTTGAAACCGTCCTCGTCGCACTGGTCAACTCTTCTCGGTGGTACTGACGACACAGCTCCAGAGATGAGTATCCGTTTCTCTTTCATATTGTTGGTAACTGTGTTGGTAACTGCCTATCGGCCTGACTAAATGCCTGAACAATGGGACTTATAAATTTGTTAATGATGTAGGTAAGCACGTCTGCATCTTCGACTATTCTAGAAGTCCCTTTAATTTTGGTTTATGAACCACCAGACCGTCATAGGACACATTTTATGCGAAAAAATCATCACGACTGACTGATGGCATGACTTCAAACATTCTTTTTTAGTTGGAAAGAGGGTCCCACAGTATTGGTCCCATTTAAATTTGAAGAAAATATTCCACCTCTAAGGGTGGCAAACTAGGGGGTTGAATCCGGTTTTACACACTTTCCGGTTTAACTGATTTCAATAAATAGATTTAATTCCACGAAATTCAGGGGTAATAATGTTCTAATTGTATACATTATAGATAAATAATACAGTAATTATTAGATCGGATTGTTGCGTAGAGTTGCAAACATTTTTAGGGTTTAAGAACGCATATATAGCTTGTATATTACCTGTTTACAAGTACGATTGGTAAATAAAAAAGAAATAAAAACTTTGTAACGACCTAAATGGACTGCATGAACCGGGTAAAGTACATCCGTATCTTACCTGCGAGTAGGTACAATTAAAAAACCAGTTTGTGATAATAAAAGTAAATTTATTATCAGAAAACAAAAAAAACTTTAATACGCAAAAAAACTGATAAAACAGAAACAGGCTTTAGAATCCTGTTTAATAATTGGACCAGGTAATGATTTTTTGTTCGATACCTTAATTGAATAAGTATTATGTCGAATTTACTATCTAAGCCTGTCAAAATTTAAATGTCAAAGAGCATCGTAATCATTCAGGAAATACGTAACTTAGAATCCAAAGTTAAAGATAAGTTTACTGTAAGCGATTGGCAGCAGTTGCTATAAATCTTAATAACAGTAGAGCTTCTTATCAAAGAGTCCGTCCTGGGAAGTACTGCCACCTTATCTAATTCTGCCGCCGCGCAGTAATGTCAGCATTATTGTGTTCCGGTTTTGAAGGGTACGGGTAACAGCTGCAGTGCCACTCAGAGTTTTCAATCGCAAAGATCTGAGGCACTGCGCTCGTCACCCTGAGACATAAGTTGACAAGTCCCATGTGCCTGTAATTTCCTTCAAAAACCGGAACGCCGTAATGCTCACATTACTTCTTGGGGGCAAAAATGGATAAGGTGGCAGTATTTCCCTGGACGAACTCTTTCACAAGGAGCTCTACTGCTACTGAATGTATTGTAGAAGACAGACGAGCCTATCGATGGGAGGTAATCCTCGTCGTACAGTCATATACACAAGATACCTGACCCCCCCAAGCCGACTTTGTCGACCTTTTCGTTCTGAGCACAAAAATGTGGAGAAAATTGTTAAACTAAGTTAATCTTTAACCTGTGAGACGTAAAATTTATTTGGGTATGACTCCCTGGTCGTCTCATTAGTGAATAACACTGTGGAAAGTTTTTAAGCCAATTTGATCTTTAACGTATGGTTCTTACTTAAATACAGAACACAAATTTCAACAGCTATAGTAAGGCCGTCATGACCAAGTGGCATAAGAATTGCTTTGCAAATTGAGGCAAACATGGTTCGAGTCACATTAAAAATAACATATTATTTAACTATGACTATATAATATTGTATTTTTTTTAACGTCTGTCAATAATTTTTAATTTTAATAATTCCGTTAAATGCGGCATATTAAAACAAGAAAGAAAACTTTGAAAGTCATTAAAACCTTGAATGTAGTTAAAACAGAATAGACAAATAAGAACGAAACGTGGAACAATGCGTAATCACAATCATATTATGCAAAGTCCAGAGCGATTTCCTGATTTGTTAATCTATCTAGGGGAAAACGTTTGTTACGTAAGGATTAATTCGTAAAGGTTATTAATTGAGAAGATAGAAGCAAAGAGAAGGAGAGGAAAACCGAGATCAACATCAGTAAGCAAGTAAAAGGGAAGCCAAAGTGAGTAGTTATACCTGAAGAGGTTACCGAGTCGGCTATGGATAGCGAGGAATGGAGGAGGCTATGCATCGACAAGAGCTTGGCTCTTATATAGGGTAATAACGTTGGTAGATACAGAAAGGCCTATACCCAGCAGTGGGTGAAATCATGCTGTGGATGATGACGAGATATAGAAAATCGCTTAAGACTAAAGATATAGCATATAAAATGATCGACTATACACGGTTTAAGTCTACGAAATATTAAACTACTTAAAGGAATGTATTCATTAGAAGTTAATATTTATTTAATGGCCTTAGAGTTTATCCGGTTTGTATGATGTCAGAGAACTGCCATTTGAATAATTGAAGTTAATTATCTTTGTTAATCGGTTTTCTAGAATAAAACTATTCAATTTTTAACAGACTTCAACATAAGGAGGAGGTTCTCAATCTGACTATTTTTTTTAAGAGGGAGCAGAGGAAAAATTCCTAATCTTCGATTTGATTTTAGAGGAGTATATCCACTTTAAAGTTAAAAATAAAATATTGTATGAGTAACTACACGATATATTCAAGCATAGACATTAATCAGAAACAGAAAACAATAAAGTTTCCTCGATAGATAAAAATCACGAAATTACCTCTAATTTTCACATTTTTTCGATTTATCCTCGAAATGCTACAGGTTATTAGGACAAAAATTAGATAATTATATTTATGCATGATTGACAACTGTCACTACGGATTTTTTTTTTAATCCCTTTAGTTTTAGAGTTATTCCGCTAAAACGAATTTGGTACTTTTAATGCGCAAAATTCAACATCTCCTGTTGCATGTCACGCGAACTTCAGGCATATATTTGTTTCACAAATTTGGGCGGAGCCAACGTCAAAACTTTTTTGGCATGAGAGCTCTTAATGTATGTTACGCGACAACTCGATAGTTTTCGAACTGATTTTGGTTTTGTATTTTTGATGGAAAAAGGGTACCTCAGTAAAGGTCTCATATAAATTTGCAGAAAATATTCCACCTCAAATTTGGCAAATAGGTATAAATATGTGTGTACTTTCCAGGACAAACTTTCACAAGGCGCTCTATTGCTACTAAACATTACAAAAATTCCCGATCCCGGAACGTTCCCGCTACCGCATCTGTGTGGTCAGAGCATTATAGTTGTGTACGTGTTTCTATGGCACCCGGTTTCCCTAATGCGGGGTGTGGAGTGTGTCAGTCATTATTATTATCACTGTTTGTCTTGTATGGTATACTCACGAATAAACATATGGTCCAAGCTCGTCCAATATAGGCTTGGAGCCGTTGTTGAGGAACTCGTCGGCGTTGGTTACGTTGTACACGTAGACCCTCACGAAAGGGCGTACTGGTGGTCGGGCCCACCACTCGAAAGTCATTGACCCTTGACGGAGCACCAGTTTCTGGGGAGAAGAATGGTTGTTATTATAATTTCTGTCCATTTAAAACAAGGAGTTCATTGCATTCCTGCCATAGGACCTATTTCTGCCATCAAGGACAGAGATGGGCAGGCGCCCGAGTTTTAACCCAGTGCTTAATTAAAGCCGGGTTTAAATCGAGTTAAAACCCATTAACGACCAAAATCGAGGGCAAAAAATATTTACAACTTCCTAAATATTCATTGCAAATCCAGTATTGGAGCGCTGAAAAAATTTTTACGTTACGTAAACTCTAAATTGAATCTCGTAAATCTATATTAAACCCAGTGACTATTCTCTAAGAAGTCAAGAAAAGGGTTTCCTGACTTTAAAAGGTGTATATATTTTGGAAATATGTCTTTTTGTCACAGTAACTTCTTTACTAAAATATCTAATCTAAGTTGTAATAAATTTTAAATGAATTGTAATTTTAAGACATTGTACGCCTGATTTGGGTAGGAATTGTGGATCTAATCACTTGTAAGTAACACCTGCATTTTACCAATTCATACAATAAATGTTTCTGATTTCTGAAAAAAACAGCATATGGAAGGGTAATAAACAAAAAATTAAATTTGACCAACTTGTTGAAAAATATAACTTGTTAGACCTACACCCTAGATATTAATAGTTGCGAGTGCATGACTATGTATGACTTATGCGATATCAGATAATATAATTAAATTTTTATTGAATTGGTGTTCAGCTTTTGAGAAATTACTCCACTACTTTGTTATAATTATTACTACAAAGCGACGATCTGCGGAAGATTGCTGGCAGGAAATGGATGCGTCAAGCCGAGAACAGGGCGAAATGGCGTGCATTAGGGGAGGCCTATGTCCAGCAGTGGACTGCAATAGGCTGATGATGATGATGATGATGATTACTACAAAGATTGAACACTTAGAAAAAACTCATTCGAGCCGGCCGAATTAAACCGACATCTCCTAGCAAACCGTGCCAGACGCAATGCCAACTAAGCCACGGAACGAACCAGCAGACCTCACCAATTTTTCTATGCACTTGTTGTCGGATCTTCTTATTTGGTTTTCAACGACTTTTTAGCCGTAGCGCCATCTATGAGAAATATATGAAAGTATTTCATCACTCAGTTATATACTTTTACAGCTACCAGCCCTGACTAGAGATGTCGCTATGAACTCTAATTTTTTTTTTTAATTCATATTCAATTCTTTTTTGAGAAATTAAAATAAAAAAACAGTATGGTTGCTCTGATATTGTTAACAATATATCATACAAAGTCCACACGCGTTCGTCACGGACTCATCACTTGCTGGCAAACTATCACCGTTGTGTAGGTTTTTTTTTTCAAATGCATTAGCACCCCTTGGACAGCATCAACGCTCTCAATTGCTTCCCTGCCACCCCCTTAGGACTCTTCAGCGCCCACAGGGGAGCGGTAGGGAACACTCTGGAAAACTATGTTTTAAACCAATGCTTGCAATTTATTTTTAACTGACTTCAAAAAAAGGCGATGGTTCTCAATTCGACTGTATATTTTTTGTATGTGTATTACGCAATAACTCCGGTATTTGTGAACAGATTTTCATGATTCTTTTTTGTTTCATGTCCCATTTAATTTTTAAGAAAACCATCCACCTCTAAGGGTGGCTGCTCACGCATGAAGATTAATTTTTATAAATAGCGCCTAAATTTTACTATAAGGAGCACTTATTTTAATGGTTGATTTTGCTATTCTTCAATTCAAGGCGTTTTTTTCTCTCAATATACTTTGAATAGTGAGAACAGATTTTTATTATCTCCTGTGTTAAGTTCCGTATAATGGTGAACTAGGGGATGAATCCGGGTTTGCGCACTTTCCGGTAACCGATTTCAATAAAACTTGGTAATTATATGTAATTTCACGTACTTTTGAAGTCGGTTTTTTTAGTACTCTGTACTGAGATTATTATTTGTTTATTCGGTATCCCTACAGAACATATACAATATTCAATATTTAACTATCTTAATTCCAGTAACAGGGAAACGCAGCATTCTTAATTATGACATCTAACTAATACTAACAAGTAGAACAAAAACAAACAAAAAAGCAAAGTACAATCCTCTGAACATAGCACGTGAGTTGCCATGTACAAAATAAAAATTATATTTTATTTTGTAAATGGCAATTGGCAACTCTTAACACTAATTTGGAAAAAACCCCAGTGAAACTTTTATCCTTGCAATACAAAAAAATCACTAAAATTCAGTAAATGTTCACTACGCTGACCTCCCTGAGAAGAACGAGCAAGAAACTCTAGGGATTGCTCTTTTCAAATAAACTTAAATGCTATAGAATACATTTGGAATCATAATTGTGTGGAATCTAGACTCTTGTTGTCTTTCCATACATCTTTATCTAACACGTAGTCTACAATTTTGTAATATAACCGTTCAATTAAAATACTTTTAACGTAAGTTTGAAACTTAGGAAATCCTCCACTAACTAACACGCGGCTATGTGACAAAATATTTTTTTGGGATATCATATAAAAAAGTATAACCCGGTTTTAGAATATTGAAGTTATTTAATGATAGTTTAGCTCTGCATCTTTGCGATGAGCGAAGATCACCATGAGATATATCGGACCTAACTTTATCTGTTTTTAAAGTGAGAGTTTTGGACTCCATCTTGTGCTCTCTAAAGCCGATATTTGACTAGGTACTTGTCATTTAGCCGCATTTTAGTTAGTGGGCAGATATATGCTCCAAAATCTTATTGAAAAAACGTATACAGTTCCCCATTAAAAATCGTTTACCTTAGGTAAACGAAATCGTGGTACCATGAGTTTGGACTTAGCTCTAAGGTTAATATTATGGATATATTCTTTTTCAACGAAATTATGCATTTTTTACGCGCATACAAAATATTTGAGTAAATATGTTGTGATGCCGCAGTCATGATACCAGTCTTCTTAAACTTTTGTCTGAAAGTTTGTCATAAACGAGAGAACGAATCGCTCGTTTTTACAACGCAAATATGGTTCGTATATCTGCCGCTTTACCCCATGTAATGAACAACCATGGACTTTTGAAGGGAATTTGTTATTTATGAAAAAGTTATAATTATTTAACTATCAGTTAAAATAATACCTAAAAGTTAAACACAATATTGTGCATTTTAGAAGGAAACAAACTTAACGCGTTAAGCCATTAAGTTAACCAACATATAAGTTCAACTTGAGAGAGTTTCGACACCCTCCCCCTCCCTCCAACAGTCCACTTGCTTGCCTTCACCTACATTGCAGTGAACCGCCGACTTGAGCAAGTGTGTTAACTTGGAATTACTTCCGCAGTTTTATGTATTTTGTAATGACAGTAAAATTAATTTTAATTTCAGATATCTTCACTGTAGCCTAGTAATTACCACTATCAGTGCTAGATGAGAAGGTCCCGTGTACAATTCCCGGGAAATAAACTTTTCTAAATTGTTTCATTGCCTCTGGAATAGTTTGAGACCAAAATTTCGTGGAATTACATCTTTTTGAATTACATCTTTTTTACATCTTCATTACCAATACCGAGGTACCTTTCCAACAAAAAAGAATCGTCAACATACATACAAAAAAAAAACAGTCGAATTGAGAACTTCCTCCTTTTTTTCAAGTCGGTTAAAACATAACATTAATACGAGAAATAAAAATAAACTAGCTGTTCTTGACAATCGTCTTCATAAAGTACCAAATTCATTTAAAGGGCAATACATACACTTCTATTATAAGATTCCGATTGATATTCAAAAGGCTTAAAACCATAGTGAAACAAAAATTGTATACTAAAGGCATTGACTTACAATTATATGGACGTCGGGTCCGCGCTAAAAAGTGTCCGAACTTATAGGGCGTT